ATATATATATATATATATATATATATATATATATAGTTGTGTATTAGTCACAGGAAGGAGCCTTGGGGGTGCAATGGTTAAGTACTTGGCTACTAACCAAACAGTTGGCAGTTCAAACCCACCAGCAACCCAGGGGAGAAAAATGACTCAGCAATCTGCTCCTGTAAAGATTACAGCCTAGGAAACCCTAAGGGGCAGTTCTCTTCTGTCATATAGCCTTTATATGAATCAGAATCGACACAATACCAACAACATTAGTTACACATTTGGATAAATTTCCAAATATCTAGTTGATATCTGAATGTCTGTGGCATTAAAATAATCATGTGTAAATAAGTTTTGCAGCATAGAATAAAATACCCAGTAAAAGAGGGATTCAGGTGGACACTCTACCCTTAATTACCTATGTAAGTTCATGTAACTGGAAGAATCATACATGAGACATGAGATTTTATATTAATGTAATTAGACTTAAGGAAAGGAGCTATCATTCCACATGCTTATTCAGTCTGCACTCTAACAAACCTTTTATTTCCCATAGAACTCTTGATGCCAAGAGGGTAAGAAAAATATCTGACTTACAATTTAACAATGCAATGCTTAGAAATTTCAAATAGTTGATTATTTGTCACAATGGGGAATTGCAAGTATGATTTGTAGGTTTTTTTTTTTTTTTTATCCGTACATAGGAAACCCTACACATCAAAAAGCAATTCTAAGTTTACAAGCCTCTATATCGCTTGAATTAATGCTCCCAATATTGCACTGAATTTTAGCACTGACTTCTCACGGTGCTGTAACAGACCAGCAACAGTCTTAAAAGACGAAGAAGTTATAGGCTATCAACTTAGTGCTATGTGTTCAAGGCATGTGTATGAGTACCTAGTAATGACCATTAAACTCACTGTAACTCATAAGAATGAAATACAGTATTTTCAGAGGAGTCATTTAATGCTCTAATGCAATACAAGAGTTCCTGTGCTTCATTCATAGAGCAATACAGGTAAAATTTTAACTAGATCCTCATGAAAAATTGTTGTCTGCTCAACAAGAGCCTGGTTCAGACTCATTACATCACATCTGACCCATTGCAGACATATCATAAATGGTCTGTCTCCCTGTCTCTACTCTTTTCTTTTCCAAATCAATCCCAAATATAATCAAAAGATCAGTCTCCTAAATCACCAATAGATTTTGTTTTGCTCGGGAAACTCTAAGCCTCAAAAGAGGTTGTGGTCATCTTATACCTCAAATGGTGGGCAAAGAGCTTTGCTTTAATAAGTACTCAGGAATCTAAGCCAACACTCCTTCCGGGTTCATCTTCCACAAACAACTGCAAATAAATCCTCTGATCTATTGAACTGGTCTATGGCCTAATATGGGAGCTCTGGTAGCATAGTGCCTAAGGCACTTGACTGCTAACCGGAAGGCTGGTGGTTCAAACCCATCAGCCACTACTTGGAAGGAAGGTTGGGCAATCTACTTCCGTAGTGATACTGCCTCGGAAACCCAAGGAGGGGTCGCTATGCGTCAGATCCGACTTGACAGCACATAACAAGGACAACGTGGCCTAATATGACTTTGTCTTGATTTCATTTCTCATTGTATTTTCTCTAAAGTGGAATATCTTCTCTCATAGTATCTACCTATTCCAAACCATAGTTACTCATAGGCACTGAGTCAAAATCTCCTTTTTTCTAATCTTGTT